CTTTTCACCTGAAGCAAATCTCCTTCGCACGATCCAAACAAACATAGCGAGCAACTGAGCTACTAGTATATGTCCGTGTTAAAACACACGAAAGGACTCTAAAGCACACTTCACTCTGATTGGGCAGAAAAACACAAAGATTTTCTGGCACCAATCAGATGGCAGAATGACTGCGACCGTTTGGAACTAGTCTTGTAAGACAATGTCCCCAGGGGCTCTTCATGCCCTAACTTGAAATCGACCCACAGCCCCTGGGTCTCCGAGGATGGGTTTGACTCTGTGGTGATACAGTAACAGGAAATAAGACGCTGGCCAGCGGTCGTTTCAGGTTTGATTCAGTGGTGATACAGTAACTGGAAATAAGGTGCTGGCCAGCGGTCACTCTTGGATCAAAGAATTGATTTCCTTTTGAGCTCTTTATCTTATTGCGTTCCAGTTACTCACAGACCTGTTCCTCGGTACTGAAAGAGATTAACCCTTTGAAATATTTACACCTTAAAAACAGTATGATTTTTCATACTGTTATTTGCGCATTTCGTAAGGTACGGGCATGGAGAATTTGTTTTACAGTCAAGAACTTCGTTAGTTAGTGATCATTTTCTTTAATTTCGTGACGTTGAAGTGTGATTAATTCAAAGGGTGCTGTTGCAAGGAAAAATTAGATGCTAGTCATGTTTCTAGGTTAAAAGGTTAAGCAGTGGTGCTGAAAACGACCCTAAAATAATTATTAAAAAGCATGTTTCGTATTATCGTTAGATTATCTTCTTAATATCTCGACAATACGTCAACTTTACCAACTTTTCTCAGCCAAATCCTTTTGATTTTCGTCGTTTCCAGCGATCGTTCAGCACTTACAAAGATGGATCACGTGATGTGAGAGCTGAAAGCTGGCGGCCCAGCTATTAGTAGCTTCGTTGTCGGTTTCTCGCGTTGAGAAAAAATAGAAAAATAAAAGAGAGAGAGAGAGATAGAAGCTGTAAACAGCTAGTAATACCCGAGACTTTGATCCATTTGTTTTTTCTCTCTCTCTCTCTCCCCGTTGATCTTGGCAAAGATTCTCGAGGGTTCGACTTGTCTGAACCCTCTTTAAGTACAGATATTGACCGCGTCAAATTTCAGTCTGCGACGATTATTTTCCGATAAACAATAGTCCTAAGGGCTTACAGCAAAGACCTTTGCCAACAGCTCGTTATATTTTACTTTTGCATCGATTTATGGAAAGGCATCAACTTTTTGAAAACTGACTCGTATAAAGATAACATCTCTCTAATTTTTATTCAATTTAATTTTCAATCGTGATCAAAAATCTTTCGTATTCGTTGTACCTCGTTTTCAGTGTCTTTTTCTCAACCCATTATATTTGGAAATCAAAAAGTGAAGTTCATCATCGCGTCAAAGATACTAAGTCACACAATCTCATGAATTAAAACACAAATGATTGTATTTCTTGAAATTTCTGGTGGTAAATTAGCATCGTTCTCAGACTTAGCAAAATCTGAGTTGATCGGTCACGCTAGCTGAAAAGAAAGATAAAGGCTGGCGATTTTATACGAACGCTATTTTTAGTTTGACAAAAACTAGTTGCTTCTCGGTATTTCACGTCTTCATTGTTTGGGTGATCGATGAGTTCGCCAGACCGTGGTGGACTTGTGACAACGATAACAAAACCACTACAATCCTAATTACGCATTGCATAGTTTAAGGACCTGATCGATTTTTTTGTGCCAAAATTCTGAGCAAATTGTTTATATAAGTAGAGAAGAGGTTATCGTGAGTAAGAAAAATGAAATCAAATGTATCAAGAACAGTTTTATGAGTACGTACTCTATTGTTGATATGGTATGGTACCATCACAAACAACTTTGAATGTTAGAGATTATAAATAAATGTTACATATAGTAAGTGAAGGAATGCGCATACACTTTTCAACATGTTTCAGAACTCAGAAAAAACAGATATATTTCAACAAAAGTTGGCCTTAATCAAACCGTTTAATGATGTATTTTAAACTAATGTTTATTTCAATATAATTTCAAGATGAACTCGCTCTGAAACGAGCACAACACCCTCAATTATTCATATTAGAAAACTTTCGGTCATTCACTTCTTTTTTCTTTCTGATCATTTCAGTAGGAGCTTCCATTTGTAATTCTAAGTTTCAAGAATGCTTAAGTGTTCCATATAATCTAAAACAACAACAGCAATAGCGAAAACCTCCCGAAGAGCTTCAAAGGAACATTGAATGTTTGACAGCTTCACAAATTTATGCGTATTTGGCACGATTCACTCAATGAACAGTAGCTGAACTAATAAAGTCTGTTTGCCATTCTTTCACCATTACACAGAAAATCTTAATGAAACTGAAGTTAGCAGACAACGGTAGCTGAGTTTATTGTTGCTTGTTAATGGATCGTTCTATTTCGGTAAAACGTTTTGGGTGCCAACAGTTCATGTTAGACATTATGCGATGTCGCAAGAACTTACCTTGGAAGCTTCTTCGAGCGGCGAGCAACAAGAAAAATCCGACTGTATAAATCTTTGCTGCCATCATTTCGTTCGATCTTGCACAAGGAAGTGGACGAAACCTTAGAAAAGTATAAAAAAATCTTAATGATTGCGTCCGCTAAAGATACGGGATGGTTGTCGATGGAGAGGTGTTTCTCTAGACCGGATATGACGACTCAATCTCCCACCATAGTCACCGGAAGTAGATCTTCATTTTCAGGAGGCAGTCAGCTCAAGCGACGGAAATGTAAAACAAAGATCGTGATTGAATGCTTGTGAGGAAGAGTTCCAAGAAAACCAAGAAGTCATAAGTATAAATAGGTAAAGGTACTAGTTGTTTATTGACTAGGCTGTCACGCAACCTTGACTCAAACTTATAGCATATCGTGCCATAACCCACATATCCAAACAGTACAAAACAACACAAGTGCCATTGATAATCTAATCAAATTTGATGAAAATGCAATCGACATTGCCTCCAACGTTCGCAGACAAAAATGGTTGTTTTACCTTGTCACGCAAGGAAATTATTCTACTTACCAGATCCTCTCGGTTTTAGTAGATACAAGGGGACTCTGGGAACAGTCTGGGAACTATACCGGCTTATACCGGCAAGAATGTGAGGAATGTAAAATTTGGACGAAAGAGACTGAGTCCCGAAAATGAAGGAAGATGGCGGCCAGAGAGAGGAAAGAGGTTGACTTCTCTCAAATTAAAAATAAGCAAAGACGGAGTTCTCTCTACCAGCAGGAAAAGCTAAAGAAAGCAAAAGAAAAAAGGGATCAGAAACGTAAACGAAAACAGGAGGAATCCCAGGAAGAAGGAGAGGTAAGGAAATAAAAGAAAATTAACATATGAACTGGTGCACGTGGATAAATATGATCGATGATGAACTTCTGGGATAACCACCCGCTTTGAAGATGTACACAGGGTTTCTTCTCGACTTGCATTGTTCTGATCACTTTATTTAGTTGTAGTCAAGGTGAGAATGGGATAGCACCAGCTTATTATTGTGTTTGAATCATAACATGTATGCAGTGACGTGGTGTGTTATTGACTTCAAAATAGCTGATAACGTTGAAGTGTGTATTTTGAATACGAAGCTTAACCGCCTAATCCCTAAGAGTGACCAGCATCTCATTTCTCGTTACAGTAGTACTGCTGAATCATCCATTAAGATCATGAGATTAAACAAACTGAGTGCCAGCCTAAGGAGCTTTGATTGTTTAGCAAATTCTCCTTTCCAGTACCAAAAGAGATGTGTAGAGAACACTATGGGGAAATAGATACTGATTTTAGGATGTGAAGGGCTAGGATGGTTACTGTGTTGTTTTATGAGCAGTGTTTTGAGTGAAGCATCTCCTTGATGTTGTTTAAATGGATAAAGGCTGATAATTTCTAAAGAAACTGTTAGAGGCTGCGTCGGTGGGGGGTAACGAAAAGTTGAAATGGTAAATTGGCCACCGTTGATTAAGTGGCACAGGTAAGGGTGGCATGTGCTTTGCGTGGCATTTTTTGTAATACAGAATTATCCATGCAACTCTTTGCCACAGTCAAAATGTGTTTTGTTGGTTGTATGACCATTAAATGGCTTTGAGGACCACAACAACATAGAATCTACAGTCGAACCTCGATTATCCGGACTCGTCGGGACCTCGGTAAATAGTCCAGATAATCGAGAGTCCAGATAATCAAAAATATGAATATTAATGAGATAGAACTGTAAACAAAAGGTATACAGCAAAGAAAACATCATTTTAACTACACAGCCTGTATGTATTTAAAGATAACGCATCAGTTTATTTCTGTCTCGTTGCACTTGCGAATTTTGAAAAGCGCACAGGATAATACACTGTTTCAACAGTCTTTTGAAAGGATTATTGGGCTTTTTGCGACTCTGAGTTTTCAAGATCACAACTAAGTAATATTCATGAAAAAAATTGGGACCAGAAAGGAAAGTCTGGATAATTGAATAGTCCGGAAAATCGAGATCCAGATAATTGAGGTTCGACTGTATTTATTTTGGATGATAAAAAAAGCTTGAGTCAGTTTGCTAGACATAACGTCTCGTAGTCATGTCTAGCAAACTGACTCAATTATCGAACACGTTCCTGGCCTCGGCCCACAAAATTTCATCACGATAAAAAAAGCAAAATATTGTTAATGATGATGTCATCTATGTCTCTCTCCTCCAATAGATCTTAACCTTTACACCCTAACATCAGTATGCATATTCTCCATACTGTTCTCTGTACATTTTATAAGGTGCTGACAAGGAGAATTTGCTTATCAATCAAGAGTTTCAGTAGTTGGGCTATTCCACATGACATGAAAATTTGACAGATTTTCAAATTCAAAATAATTATGAGAGCCAAACTTACTTTTAATGGAAGCTAATAAGTACTATAAGAATCCAAATCTAGATTGGCCTTGGTGGCCACGCCCAGGTTGTATGATGCCATTGTTTTTGAGGGTTTTTATTAACTGAATAAGCCATTTTACATACCAATATCTAAATTGCTATATCTCAAAGAAATTGAATGCCATAAATCAGATTATGAGATCTTAACTACCTCAGACATACAAAGACATAAAAAGTGTTGTGGACGTGACCTTCAGGGTATGATTCAGAGCAACATTTTTCTATGTAGGTTCTCAACTGTTTCAGGTCTTATTTATGCTGCTCTTATTGTTAAGTATTATGATAATTTTGACACCCCAGCTTGCTCAAATTTGTTAACTATTTAAGAGATATCGGGTTGCGGACGTGACCGTTGCGGACATAACACATTTGACTGACTGTGAATTGAAGTGTGATGGGTTAACCAATACCCTTTGGACCATGTTTAACGAGTGCTTCCCGTTGATTTCTGTTCGTATATCCTCAACGGATCCTCCTTTCATTTCACGATTGGTTAAACATCTTTTGAAATTTAGGAACAGGTTGCAAAAGAGATCTAAACCGCTCCCTGATGGCCTTGAGGACAAAATCAACCATATTATTAGGGAAAATCAACGACAAGCTGTCAAGCAGGATTCTAGTATGTCCGGTAGGGGTTCTCGTGCTTGGTGGTCCACTGTCAATACCATTACTGGAAGAGACACTCAGCCCCAGTTGATCAGCTCAGTTATTCATCCAGACATCATTAATAAATATTTTTGTAGCATAAACTCTGATCCTGAATATATAGCCCCTGCACCAATTGATATTCCTGATGATGCGAGGATACCTACAATACCTCTTCACGTTGTCACACATTTTCTTTCTAAGCTTAGGAAGACTGCTTGTGGCCCGGATGAGCTCCCATACTGGCTTTTTAGAGAATTTGCCCATGATCTTGCCCCTGTTGTCACCGATGTGTNATAGTCAAAATGTTTTCTGGCAAAATAAAAGGTACTTCAGTGGTAACGTTATGACATGACTCATTTCAATTCAAATAGTGTGGATCTGGCTTTAGGAGACATTTTAATACCCAAATTTTGCCTCTAAATGTCACGTCCACAACGTGGAATTGACCAGTTGTTGATCATTATCATTATTCTCATGATCTTTATCTCTGATTCAAGGGTGATGTTGTAAGGAGAACTCAGATCCTAATCACTCTTTGGTGTTGAAGGTTAACTAATAACCAATCAAATTGTGTGTAAAACACAGCTTATCATCTAAAGGGTATTTTCATACACTGAGTGTGACATGTTTGATTGCAGCCTAAACCAAAGCAAGTTCCAAGAACTATTGACAACACTCGAGTTGCTGATGAGACCATTGTAGAGCCGCAGGATGAGGAGGTAGGGTAGCCAATTTGAATCCATCTTGAACTGCCATCACATTCTTAGGTACTTGCCAAAAAAAATTTACATGTAGGTAACAAATTCCCCAGTCTGTACTTGATTTTTAGACACACCAGTATTAAGAAATTTGTTGGTAAGGAGCAGAACAATTTGCCATTTGTGTATTTGTATAATCCATATTTTTACAATAAAAAAGTAAAGTCTGTGTATGAGTCAAGTGGCTCATCAGATGGTGTGTGCTTATCTCTGGTTTCTGTAGCATGAAGCAAATAGGAGTATTTCTACTCCCACCTAGGTGGCATGCTAGTCCATTGCAGGGTTACCCCCCCCAACATTAAAGTCACCGGTATCCATTTAAACACTTGGGTGAAAAGAGGCACTTTTAGAGTAAAGTGTCTTGCCCAAGAACACAACACAATGTCCTTGGCAAGGGCTTGAACCCGAACCACTCGATGTGGATTTTAGCGCACTCACCATAAGGCCACTGCTTCTCTGGATTTGTATGATACTGTGCTATAATTGTTGTGGAGAAGGACAAATTATTCAGAAAGTGTTTGTAAATACACAGGTCTTGAATGATGAAGAAACTGATGAGTTTGCAGCATACTTTAGATGTGAGGTAGTACCCAAGGTTCTTATCACCTCAAGTGACAGATCTAAAGTGGTATGTGTGGATAAAAATACTAAATATCAGATGTTATATTGTTATTTTGCTGATTCCTTTTGCTTCCTAAAGTGATCATGTGTTACATTCTTCTTAGAATTTTAATCTTTTAACTTCCAAGATATGATTGTTAATTCTCCCCTCTAGCTGCTACACATTTCCTCATAAATTAGTTACAACAATTTGATGTTCAATCAAGATAACAACTTCTACCTGATGAGTTTGAATATTCTCATTTCTTGTTTGCTGGATCATGTGATTATAGGTAGAAGTTTCATGTAAATCATTTCTGGGATTGAAAGGGTTAACACCCTTTTGGAGTTTTCAACAATATTTTGAGTAACTGAACTTTGATTCAGAGTAGGCAGCACTGAAAACTTCTTATTAATCAAGTGTTAGGGCCATATTGGGGGATGTTGGCCAGATTATGGCAGCAACAGAGGGCCAATATTCCCCACTGTGGCTCAAGTAAGTAAGGTTTGTTAGTAGTTTATTATATGGCAGTTGTTTATTTTTAATTTTCTGGCTTTTGCAAACAAAAAAAAAAATGGCCCATGACCATTTCCCAAGCCATGGGCAAATCAGAATTCTCAGATTGCTTTATATTATTCCCAAGAATGTCATGCTTCCATACAGAAAATTGAGCCACACGCATTGAGAATGGCTAGTGTATTTTTCAGAATACACATTGATATGCGCTGGCTGCCAGCTTATTTGAACAGCCTGCCCTTTTGACCAGATGGGTAATGAGAGCTAAGAAATTTATTGCAGCAGAGATGTTGTCTTGATAGCACTTCAAACTCTCACAAAGAGCCAACAAAGAAATGCATTGTTGCTCATAAAGAAAATAAGCTTTGAGATCTAAGGAGTGAAAGGGTGATTTGGAGAATTGATATGGATCTTTGAAGCTCTTGGAACTAAATAATAGAAAAGTGGAAAGCAAAACTGTTAAACCCTCTCACTTCCAAGACAGTGACCAAGACAGAATTTCTTCTTACAATTGTAATGCAATATCAAGCAAACAAGAAATGAGAATAAAGAAAAATTAGGGGATTATTAGTTGATCTAAAACCAAATTCTCCAAACTAAGAAAAGAAGAAATGTGTGCCGACTGTAAGGAGAATTACTAATGACATCTTGGGAGTGAAAGTATAAACATTCCAGTGTCCTCATTTTCAAAATGCATACAAGTTTAAAATCTGTTTTGTTGAATTGAGTTGTACTTTATCAAGAATAAAGAATAACTCTTAATTTTTTTGTATCAACTCAGGGGCTTGCTAAGTGATAAAATCAACACTTTGTAAATGAGTTAGAATGTTAAAGTTTCAGGAAAGAGTCTATTTTTGGTTTCTCGTTTATCCAGTGAAAATGTTTCATTATTGTCTCTAGAAAACAGTTCAGTTCATGGAGGAACTCCAACGCATCATCCCAAATTCTGAAGTCCGTGTACGTAAGGGTATAGATTTGAAGAAAATTATCCCTCAAGCTAAAGAAAGAGGATTTACAGCTCTTGTTGTTGTGAATGAAGACAAAAAAATGCCAAGTATCCTTTTGTGATGTTTAAAAGAGAAATCTCTGGTCTGCATTTTTATAAAGGTTTGTGTCTCTACATTCAGTCAGGGATGGGAGAGGAGTGAGTTCTACTTCTAGACTGGACATTAGGGACCTAACATTATTCACAGGGAGGGGGGCTGGTGGAAATGAGAAACAAAATTCTCAAAAACTTTAAGTCCCCCCATTAT